GATGATAATGATAATAATGATGATGGTGGTGACAATGACGATGATGACGACGATAATGATAATAATGATGGTGGTGGTGACAATGACGATGATGATGGAGATGAAGATGATGATAATGACGACGACAACGATGACGATGATGATGATAACGATGATGATGATGAGGATGGTGGTGATGATAATAATGATGGTTATATACGATTTTTTCCGAGAACGCTCTTTAAATTTTTTTTCACAAAGTCCTGAATTCATTACGAGAGCAGATGAAATAATCTCCGCGGGTGACTAAGAAACAAACACACGAAAAGTAGTTAGAACAAATGAAAATGCCATCAACACCGAACCAACTGACTGAACCAACGCACATCAGGTAATCGACATGGCCGCTCTCTTCCACTATTCGTCTGATTTCTGGTTTTCTTGACACACATATCAATATTCAGTTTTAATGCTTATGTTATTGCATGTTGTTCTGTTTCATTCCATGTTGAATTTTCATGTTACATATCATTTAGTCTCTCTCCATGTTATTTGTTAGTTTGTCATGTGTTCTTGCTTGCTGTGCGGTTACTGATACTTATTATCTTGTTCGCTGTGTTTTTTTACACATGGTGAGCTTGCTCTGTTTCTTATATTATTTCTATCTTACTATATTGCACGTTGTCGTAATTATGTGTTTCCACTTGATAACTTTCAACTGGCGCTTGTAATTTGTTACTTAATATGGCTAATTAATTTTATTTTTAGTCTAGTCTTCCCGTTAATTGTGTTCTGTATCAGAGAAAATCAGGCAAACTGTCTGGGTCGCTTGTGTATATCTTAATATGCGTTATGACACTTCTCGGAATTCATGCATAGATGTCCAAAATTCGCGATACTAATCATTGAAAACTAAAGCTATTGTCTTTATTAGTAAATGTAATAACATGCCCACATGCGGAAAGGCCTGTCATCATACTTTTATGAAATTTCTGAAGAAATAATTAATCCGGGACATACTGCAATCCGGGTATCTTTACAAAAGCCAACCGTGGTTTTCAAAAATAAACATATTTACTCACAGATAAGCACACAAACACAAATAGACGTACGCGCGGGCATACGTACATGCATACAAGGTTTATATAAGTATATAGACCTTGCATGCATGCACACATACATACCGAAGAGTGTCGTAGCAGGGACTCAAAAGAGGCATGTGGTTGCAGCAATGACCATATTAAACCCTATTTAGGATGCCTATTACAATATAAAACAAATTTAAGATTAATGGAGGAGGGCTATTATATAAATTATTGATTCATGAATGCTAGTGTAGAATCCTATAAAACTTCAGAAGCAGTGACAGTTTCCTTTTAAATGCATTAGTTGATGAAAAACACCCCTTTCTTACTTACTATGACAAAAAAAATGATTCCAGTTCGACTTTTCCCCGAAGTTAGAAGACGGCGGGTCCAGCAGAACCACGGTAAAATGTCGTTTTTTTTTTTTTTTTTTTTTTTTTTACTAAATTAATTTGTAAGTTCTTTTTGTACATAATATTCATTGTTATATTATCAGTCCTACATAGAATGACACTGAACAAAGAAGGGAACCATCAGTGATCAAAAATAAATAATGATAATAATAAAAAAATGGATCGAGCAAATTATTCGAGCGCCAAACTTTAAAGTCAAGATCTTGGTTGTCATTTTGCGTGCCACAACTCTGTAATTTTAGCGATTACCTGCAATATAACTGTTAAATGACTACATAATTGCTCCTCACATTGCAACACTTACCTAGCATCCAGACACATTTGAAGACGGATCATTTAGGTCGCGAAGTGCACATTATGGGCGATGCACAGGCTTAGTTGAGACAAAATATTCTGCATTATTTATATTCTTCAAAGTTCGCTTCCAAACTCCTAAAACATGTAGATGAATGTTGCCGAAATATTCTTTAAGACTTTTTTTCAGCATATTCCAGGCTGACCTGGAAAAAATAGTTATTTTAAAAACTACCAAATCCTCCTGCCTATACCACCCATGATTCATAAAATGAAAACAAATCCTACTTTGTTCTCCAAGGTTATTTTACAGACTAACCCCACTACAAAGTGGCCAGTCCAAGATGATTCAACTAATTTTTTGTCGGTTTCAGAAATTGAACAATAGATGCTCGACCGCTCTTTTTCTTTTATTCATTGGGTATCACACACAAAAAAGTGTTGATGAACCCTACTGTTATATTAGTGAAATTTACCAAAATACGACTATATCACCCTACGTAACATAAGAATGGTAGAAAACACAATGCACAAACTAGTTTAATTGAAATAAATGAAACAACAGTTTCGTAATCTTCCGGTCCATCTTTAGGTCTGAAGGGGAAGGGAAGAGGAGGGAGTAAAAGAGAAATGAGAGGCAACGCGGTGAACACGTTAAATATAATTCGCTAAATTTGTCTTCGCTAAATTGTCTTCGTTAAATTCGTCTTCGCTAAACGCCTCAAAACGTAAACAAACAATCGTGTTGATCTGCGGCAACGTGAAGCGCGTGTGACTATGAGGCCCTCGGTCTAAATCAAGGGATTGCTTCATATTTATTGTACTAAGGTCCAAATAAAGTATGGTTATGGCCCAGAAGGATGAAAAATCGTCGAGCCAGGGGGATTTCCCTCCCGGAATGGCGCCCAAGATGTTGAATATGCTGAAAGAACTGGACAGCATTGAGAAGGAGCTGCAGCCGCTGATTTCGCAGCCTTATCACGAGGTCCTGAGGAAGGTGAGAGCACGACTTGGCTTTTGATTAATCTTAAGACTAGGGCATTGAATATTCTGGTGAATTAGATCTCGCAGACTCTCCAGGTTGTCGAAGAAGGGTACGCCTTGTTCATAATCCGAGGTAGAGCCGAGTGAGTTTTTGCTTTGTGAAGTTATGTGTATGGTATTTTCAGTTTCTGTTTCGCATAGTCGTATAGCACAAAGTAAACAGTATATTTACGGTAATTTTCTACATTACATCCGCATAACCGATATCGACGATTTTCGTATCGTTGGATTCCTCTCACTCTCCACACTGCAAATATATAGGTTTTATTGTGCGGAAACCCCCCCGTTAGCGACAAACTTGGCCCCGATAGCAGGGGAGGGCATGAAAGGTTCCAGGGAAAATGCGGGGTTAAATAACTCTAATAATATAACGCACAGTGAAAATAACCATGGTTATTCACATAACTTTTCATTGCAGGGGGCTGTGCCCCCTGTGACCCCCCTGGGGGGGGGGCTGCCGCCCCTCAACCCCGCGAGGAAACAAAACCTCCACCACGCATTCCCGGCAGGCTAGAGCGTTACACAATCATCGTTGATGTCGGAGCGGCGGGTGTAATATTACAATTACCTCGAAAGATTCCCACTGAATCAGCATATCAACCTTGGCATAGTCAGCATTGGATATAGACGATTGTAGTAAAATCAGGATGAACAGGGTGGCCTGCCCTCATAGGCGGGTTTTGCGCCTCTTTCGATGTTACACCGATGGCCTCAAGGTCGATTTTCCCTTCCTCTGGAATAACGACATTCGTATTCCTAACCGAAATAACCGTCGCGTTCAGAAGGCAGTCATAGCCTCCACAATGGCTGAGTGTGGAGTGTGCTCGTATTCGGAGACGGATTTTCTGCTCGAAATTGCAACTAGCCAGGAAAAAATGCTAGAGATGTGCTTCCGCCATGGCCTCCTCTGTCGGGAGAAAGCTGTATCCTCCGGCCTAGGACCTCCTTCCGGACGCACCCTGCCTCCTTAACATTCTGCAGCAAAGGAGCACCCTCCCTACTAATTAGTGGCATTAATCAATCAGGTTAGTACCTTAAAAATCCTAGGTTATTGTAGGTTACAGGCACCGCATCTAGTTCGTGTGCACTCTATCCTGCCGTGAATACGTGGTGGAGGTTTCGTTTCCTCGGCGGGGGTTGGGGGGGCAGGCCCCGCCCCCCTCCCCAAGGGGGGTCGCAGGGGGTGCAGCCCCCTGCAATGGAAAGCCATGTGAATAACCATGATTATTTTCACTGAGGTTATATTATTAGGGTAATATTATATATTACGTCCGCCGCTCCGACATCGTCGCCCCCGCTATCGGGGCCAAGTTTGTCGCTAACAGGGGGTTTCCGCGCAATAAAACCTACATGTTTGCATTGTATAGAGTGAGAGGAATCCAATGATACGAAAATCGTCGATATCGGTCATGCAGACGTAATATAGAAAATTACCAAATTTACAATGGATAACAATCAGGGTTACAGTAAAAAAAAAAAAAAAAAAAAAAAAAAAATGGAATGATTACCTTGACATAAACTAAGACACTTTTCATTTATGGCATAAGGTGTACAAATCAAAAATAAAGAAAACACATGACAGAGAAGAGGGAAGATTGACAGATCATTTTCTGGTACGGGTAAATTTCCAGCCAGCTGCCATGTTGACATCGCGAATGTAAACAAAATTATGATCAGGCTTAGTTATGGCAACGTAAAATGTTATATTAGGCTGGCTTATTGGTCAATACATGTTTTGGGGGGTTTGGAACATGTGAATTCCCATAAATTTTGCCGAAAGGCGAGTTGGGCTCCAATAGTTTTTGAGTTTTGGCACGTTGACTTTGATAGATGGCAGGTACATCTGTAGAGTTTCACTGGCCAATTTTAAGCGTTTTTCGTGCTAGTTTTATATATTTTTGTTTGCTATTCTTATTTAAGCCTATTTTACCCCATAACTTCCCTAGATTGTCGGCTGTGATTGTTACAGAAAGGATTATCAGATTTATTCTCGTCACATGAGAATAAATCTGATGATATAGATATTGTCTGGGAAGTCCCGATTATCATAAATGGTAAAATAATCAGGTAAACTTTGCCTGTAAAGAATAGAACAACTTCAATATGACACTTATCATCTTTGATATTTGTTTCTCAGGTTGATGAGTTGTGCAGCATGTAATTTTTGGGGTTAATTTTTCAACAATGACAATTGGTTCTTCCCTGATAATGTCTATATATCATCAAAATTATTCTCGTGATGAAAACAGATCTGATAATCAGTTCTGTCACAGTGACAGCCAACAACCTTGATGTGGTAAGTCCCGATAGCAGGGTAGGGCATGAAGTATATCAGGGGAATTACAGGGTAAAACAGGCTGAACTAAGAAGAATATAGAATAATAAGTAGTACAAAATTGCTTAAAATTGGCCAATAAGATGTGCATGCCATCTTTGAAAGTCCATAGACTGACATGCCAAATTAAAAAAAACACCACAAAAATTCAACCCATCCTTTGGTAAAATCTACAAGAATACACACCATCCAAAAACATGGTAATCGTACAGTATGTCGTAACCGATAGTCCAACCTAACCTAACCCCATGGGATTTATATACCATGAGCTCTATATTCCCTAGAGCCCCCTGGATCCCCATACAATTTATACAATACCTTCTATATATTCTTAAGCCAAGCCCATTGGACCTCCATGGGATTTATATGGTTCTTATCAGGGAGCTCCACCCACTGGACACCCAGGGTAAGTAATCAGAAACATAAGGGCACAATCAGAAAATATATTGTTTTTCGTTAATGTGTCATCGTGAGCAACGACAATGTATGGGCTGCAACCTGCGAGCAAAGTACATTTATGGTGAGAGCAACAGCGATAGTTTTCCACTTTGATACACATGTCCCCAACTCCAAGTTATAAAATTTATATATCAGTCTAAGTTGCAGTGACTAGGTGTGCCCTTCAGGCTCTGCCCGAGGGGAGGGTTGATGACCAACACCCCCTGAGAAATATTATCTTCACCTCTTATGCATGGAAAGATAGAGCTAAAACTTGGGAGCACCGAGTAGACTCTGGTTGAGAGCAATGCTTTCCGCGATCTTTTACCTTCAATTTTGGGGTTATCGTTTGTGTCAGCAGATTATTTCTTGTACCAACAACTGCAACATTTTGTCCTCTACAAGAATATCATACTCAATATACTGGAACTTAGTATGTCCTTACCTTATCATAAAGATTAACCTTCACTTTTGATAACAATGTTCTGAATTGATTTAATAATTAAGGGATTATTATTCATGTTTGTTTTTAAATTTGGATGGACTTTGTTTTGTTTTGTTGTATTAATTATATTGGAATTCAAATATCTGTAAGAAAGAAATTTGTGTGCAAGCAAAAATGATTTTAGCTGCAACTCAAGATCAGCGTCAGTGTGAGCATTTGTGTGTTTTCCAACCTAGCAAAAGGGGATATAATTTCCCTAAATCAGTAATAGATTTGCTTCTACAAATTATTAGCACATCAAAAAACTATACCTATATGTAGCAAAACAGCAAGCTTTTCTTTGCTTCTGTCCATTGTCTGAATTGCTTGATTTTTAACCACTTTTTTGACATTTGGGGCAATTAATGGACACAAATATTAAGCTGTGATAGTCATTAATGTCTATTTTCCTGCATAGCCACTGTATTGTTTTACAAATGAAGCGGAGAAAAATTGCATGCGCAGAAAGTTATTGTTCAGAATAGCATAGATAACTATTAAAGCACATGGAAAAAGTTTAATGAAAGTAAAAAATACATTAGATACATGAATTACAAAAAGCAAGTGTTGATAATTACAAAATAATTGTTTGCACAAGTGCATGATAATACATGAATAATTTGGCAGATCGCAGTAATGAATTATGTGGTCATAGTAGCATTTATTGTCACAATGTAAACATTGGTAAGGTCAATCTTCTCTTTTCTTTATCAGGTATCTCACTTTACAACAAGAATAATCATTCCATCTTTTTTTTTTTTTCTTTCTTTCTTTTTTTTTTTTTTTTTTTACTGAAATCCAGATTTTCATCTAATATTTTCCCATGCTTTAGTGTGCATTTAAAATAAAATTTAATGACACTATCATAGAGATATATGAAATAATCATGATGAAAATCCCTGCCTATTACAACACTGAGTGAGACAGACTGTTAAGTTCATTCAGTGATGTTTGTGGATCCCAGGAGCAGCAGGAAATTTAGGGTGTTGTCACTTCTTAAACATTTAGGGTTGTGGTCACTTCGTAAACGGTTAACAATACTTTCATTTATGTCAGCTGTGATGGAAAATAATAATGAACAAACTGACCAAATCACATGGCTGCTAACCAGAAAACCAAAAGATTGCTCAGAAAACGAACACCAGATTGATTCAGACCACAGCCAACGATATGAGGATTTCAAAATTTTGGAATTAATCTTATGTAGATCCAGTCATAGGTTCAATAAGGTTTAATTTTCATGATTATATGTACAACTGCATATAGTTTTGTATATGAATTATTTAGTAATTCATACCAAAGAGAAAATTTTAGTTTTTGCAGTAAAGTCATAACCCCTATCTGCTTAGGATTTATTACACTGGGGATCCATGAGTCTATGGGACAAGATGGGGTAGATGAGGCTGCAGGTGTCCAAAAGTTGGAGCC